CTCATAAAGGAAATAAATAAATAAACAGTTTTTAAAACATGAAAAGATAGGCCATAGGATGAGAGAAATCATTTGCAAACATGGATCTGATAAAGGATTTGTATGTGGGATATAGAAAGAATCCTTAAAGCTCAATAATAAGAAATCAACCCAATAAAAAATGGACAGGGAAGAAATACAGATTTTAAATAGACATATAAAAACATCATTAGTCATTAGGGGAAATGCAAATTAAAATCACAATGAGACAACACCATCCGCTTATTAGAATAGCTAACATTTCTTTTTTATATTTTGAGAGTGTCTTTTTTTGTTGTTGTTTTGTTTTGTTTTGTTTTTCGCTATAGGGCATATGTTCTCGCCAGAGAGAGACAGAGAGACAAAAAGTGAGAAATCACCCCCCAGGGGGGATGGTCACGCCACAACCCCTTCTCCTCCATTCTCCTCTCAGGATCTTGGGTACGCACGCACACGCGCCCGGCATGAGTTTTAAGCTACTAGATCCAAGACTCACATTGTGGTTGGCTACGTGGAATCTAGAAATGTAACTATTACACCATCTACTGGTCCCTAGAATAGCTGATATTTCTCTAAAATGACAGCAGCTAGTGCTGACAAGCCTATGGAATAGCTGAAACTCTCATGTATTGCTGGTGTAAATGCAAAAAGTTACAGTCACTTTAAAGAATAGTTTGGCAGATTCCTGTAAACAAAATTTACCATATATTCCCCCTGCTCAGTAAGTATGGAAACTTATGTCTGTACAAAGTCCAGTATAAGAATATTTACGACAGCTTGATTAATCAGCAGTAGGGACAACCCTCACTGGTGAATGGTTTAACAAATGATGGTACATCCATGGAATGGAATACTGCTTAGAAATAAGAAAGGAACAGGGACCAGCAGGTGGTGTGGTGGTTAAGATGCTGGACACTCCCACATGACTGACCGGGGTTCGAGTCCTAAATCTGGTGGCTTGCTTTCTTATTTCATCTCTCTCTCACTCTCACCCTCTGTCTCTCTCTGGTCAAATTAAAAAATAAATGAATGAATAAATAAATAATAAAATAAATAATTATTTTTAAAAAGGAAATAAGAAAGGAACAAATCACTGAAACACGCAGTGATGGGGATAAAGTTCTAGAACTGGTGTTAAATGGAAGAAGGCACGAAGACAAACGTGCAAAGCTGCATACTGTGTGACTCCATTTTTGTGACATTCTGAAAAGCCGAAACTATAGACATAAAACAATGGTTACCAGGGACTGGGGAGTTTGAGGGGAGGATCGGCCACAGAGAAGCACAAGAACCTGTTTGGAATAATAGTAACGATCTATATCTTGATTGTGGTGATGGCTACACTACCTTTTGCGAAACTAACTACAGCTGAAATGGGTGAATCTGCAAATGAGAAATTTCGGTATGTTTGAGACTAGATTTTCCAGAAGCTTAGTTTTTCCTAGGGAACATACTCATGTAGGCTGCAGAGGGTAAGGTCTGGGAGTCAGACTGCCTGACCTAAACCCCAGCTCCTCCACCTGCCTCAGTCTGCAGCCTTGGGCATAGTGCTAAACTCTCTGGGGCTCTGTTTCTTTGTCTTTGAAATGAGATCTTGCCTCCTACCTCAGAGGGTTACAGAGAAAAAGCGGTTGTTCATGTAAGGCAGTCAGGGAATGAGAGTACTGCCACTGTAGTTATAGTACTCTTTTTATCTCAAAATTGTTTTCTGAGTGTCTCCGATGTTACACTCTGTGTTCAATGCTGGAATATGACCCCTGGGACTTGGTCCCTACCTTCATTATGGTCCAGTTGGGGAGGCAGAAAGTCAAACATGAACAAATTCTCAGAGACCATTCTAGGTGAACACCAGTAACATAGAAGAGATAAGTAGAAGGACTGGTCTCATAGCAGTTAAGCACCATGCCGACAGAGTTGGATCCTACAGGGCTGACCAGAATTTGAGGCTCAGACCTGTTAGCTTGAAAAACATGCCAGGTGCATGCCTGCCCAGGGTCCTGGCAGAAAGGAGAACTGAAGGAAAAGGATATGGTGTGACCAGGCCCCACTGTGTTTGAGCAGGTCATATCTCTCTGTCTCTCTCTCTCGCTGTCTCTTTCTCTCACTGATGCCCGTGCCTCTGGCCTTAAAGAAGGTGTGGGAGGAGGGCCAGAAAAGAAACACACAGAATGATACTGCAGAAAAATTGGGGAGACTACTTTGGAGAGGGAGAGGGAAGGGAATGAAAGGCATGCTGAGAAAGTGGCAGTGGAGTTGAGACCTGTCGGATGGGGACGCACAGCGCTGAGGGGCACGTCGTGGGTGGAGGTGCAGCAAGTGCAGGGCCCAGGCAGCGAGTACCCCACCCTGTAAATGCAGGAGGCTACTGTGGGTCGACGTAATGAGCCAGGAGCAGAGTGGCATGAGATGAAGTGGGAGGTAGGCCATAGGAGAAGGCTGGCCTGGATTTTGGGTGCAGTGGGAAAGCAGAAATGGGTCCAGGTAATTCATGACTGCTTTTC